TAATGCATATGTGCTAGGAAACTGCATGAGGCCAGGGGAGATAACCACCAAAAAGGACTTAAAGGATCAGCTCCTCATGTTCATCCAGTCCCAGGAAAAGTGAGTGTTCTCATCAGCCAGCCAGAAAGAGCTCAACATTTATAGTACATTATATATAATTCTCAGGAGTGTCTTGCTTTAAAAAGGAGACTAATTTGCTGTAGAATAAATGCTGTTCTTGTCCCACTAACAAATCTTAAAAGCAGGATTTGAAAGAATCAAACTGCTTCCAAATTACTGCATCTCAGAACAAAGCACAAGAATATATTTACAGAAATATAAAATATCCAGCATCTAGCAAGATAAAATTCATAATGCCTGTGATCCAATAAATATGGCCAGGCAAGCAAAGAAAAAAAATATGATCCATAATGTGGTGAAAAACCAATCAATCAAAAACACCCAAAACAGACACAGATGTTAGAATTGGCAGAAAAGGACAGTAAGACAGCAAATTTGTCTTCCGTATGTTCAAAAATCTTTAACAAAGATGGAACATGTTAAATAGAAACAGAAGATATTAAAAACACTCAAATCTAACTTTTAGAGATGAAAACTACAATGTATAAAATAAAAAATACACTGAATGAGATGAATAGCATATTAAACACTGCAGAAGAGAAGATTATGAGCAAATGAAGGACAGCAATTGAGTTTATTCAAAAGGAAATAGAAAATAGACGGAAAAAGAAGACCCCAAGTACCCTAATACAAATGTAATTGCGGGGCATCCAAAGGAGGAACAGGAAAAATATGTAAAGAGCTAATGGTTGAAAAATTTTTAAATTTGATGAAAAGTAGAAATGCACAAATCTAAGACACTCAGTAAACCACCCAAGCACAAGAAACATAAGGAAAACCACACTAAGACATATGTGACCAATTTTCTCAACACCAGTGTTAAAAATAAAAAATCTTAAAAGCAGACAGAGGTTGGAAGAAAAGAAACAAATGTACAGAGGAACAGAGATAAAGTTGACAGAAGACTTCTTGTCTGGAAAAAAATGCAAGTGAGAACACAGTAGAGCAACAACTTTCAAGTACTGCACTAATATTCAAAACAGTCAACTTAGAATTCTATAGCCAGTGAAAATATCTTTCAAAAGCAAAGACAAAATTCTATTTCAGAAGTACAAAAGCCAAAATAGCTTGCCGCCAGCAGACCTGTATTAAAATAAATGTTAAAACAACAACAACAAAACAGGTAAAAGGAAATGATAACAGTTGGCATCTACACACACAGAAAAATAGAAAACACTGAGTCACCTTATATAAAATGGACAAATCCTTTGAAAGACAAAAACTATGAAAGAAATTGATAGCCCAAATAGCCTTATATCAATGAAATAAATCAAATCTGTAGTTAAGAACCTTCTCACAAATAAACAAACAAACAAAACTTCAAATACAAATGGTTTCACTGGTGAATTCTACCAAACATTTAAGGAAAAAAATAACACCAATTCTAAGCAAAGTCTTTCAGAAAACTGAAGGGGGGAACACCGTCCAATTTATTCTATGAGCTTAGTTTTACCTTCAATCACAAATTGGAGAAAGACAGTACGAGAAAAGAAAATGACAGATATCTAACTATGGATGCAAAAATTTTAAACAAAACTTTAGCAAATCTAATTCAAAAATATAAATTGGGTGTACCATAACCAAGTAAAATTTCTCCCAGGAATGGGATATTTTAAAATCAATCAAGGTAATTTACCATAATAGCAAAATTAAAAACTATAGAACTATTTCAATAGCTGCATAAAAAGCATTTGATAAAATCTAGCACCCATTCCTAATTAAAAAAAAAAACCCAGCCGGGCTCAGTGGCTCAGCCTGTAATCCCGCGCTTTGGGAGGCTGAGGTGAGTGGATTTTCTGAGCCCGCGGGTTCAAGACCCGCCTGGGCAACTTGGTGAGACCACATCTCTACAATAAATCAAAAAATCAGCCGGGCGTGGTAGCGCGCGCCTGTAGTTCCGGCTACCGGAAGGTTGAGGCAGCAGGTCGAGGCTGCAGTGGCTGGTAGCGGCCACTGCACTCCAGTCTGGGTGACAGAGTAAGACTCCAACACACACAAAAACAAAAACAAAAAAACAAAAACCAACCAACTTTATTTAAGTAGGAGTAGAAGGGAAGTTCTTTCACTTCATACGATCATTTATGAAAAGCATCCAACTTAATGGTTTAAGACTAAATACTTTCTCGTTAGGATCAGGAACAGGACAACATGTCAACTCTCCCTACTTCTTTTCAAGATTGTTGGGGAGGTTCTAGTACAAAAATAAAAAGAAAAAAAATATATAAGCCATCTACATTGGAAAAGAAGAAACAAAACTGTTTTTATCTGCAGATGGCATAATCTATGTAGAAAATCTGATGAAATATTTTTTTTAAATGCTACTAGAGCTAATAAGTGAATTTAGTAGTATCAGTATGCAAAATTAATGTATAATTTAATTATCTTTATACTAACAGTGAGTGATCAAAAATTGAAATAAAAAACAGCACCATTTTAAAAGTATCTAGAAGTATAATAAACTTAGGGTTAATTCTGAAAAAAGGCATGAAAGACCTCTAGAGTAAAAACTACAAAATACTGCTGGGAGAAATTAAAGAACTCCTAAATAAATGGTAAGATATACCAGGTTCACATATCAGAAAACTCAAGATTGTTAAGATGTCAGTTCTTTCCATATTTATCTATAGATTCAATGCAAACTCAAAATCCCAGCAGGCTTTTTTTTTTTTTTTTTAATTGACAAGTTGAATCTCACATTCAAACGAACTACAAAGACCTAGAATGGCCAAAACAACTTGGAAGAAAAAAAAAGAATAAAACAGGAGAACTAACATTACCTAATTTCAAGACATTATAAAACTACAATCAAGATAGTGTGGTATTTGCATAAAGATAAATCAATGTCAATGAAACAGAATACACAGTCCAGAAATAGACTCACACATGTGATCAATTATTTTCAACAAAAGTACAAAAACAATTCAGCAATGAAAGTCTTTTCAATAAATGTGCTTGAACAACTGAACATACACATACCCCCGAAAAGAACTTCAGTCTACATTTCACAATATATAAAAAATTAACCCTAAATGGGCCATAGACCAACTAAAAGCCATAACACTTATAAAACTTCTAGAAGAAAATATAGATTATTTTTTAATCTTACAGTAGGGAAAGATTTCTGTAATACATCATGAAAAGCATGATCCATAAAAGAGAAAAATGAAAAATTTGACTCCATTAAAATGAAAAACTAGTAAGAGAATGAAAAGACAAAGCACAACTGGGGGAAAATATTTCCAAATTATATATCTGAAAAAGGGCTGGTATCCAGAATATATTAAAAAACTTTTAAAATTCAATAATAAGAATACAAAAAAATTAAAAATGGGCAAAATAACTAAACACACATTTTACCAAAGAAGATGTACAGAGAGCAAATAAGCACATAAAAAGATGTTCAGCTTCATCAGTCACTGTGGAAATAAAAATTAAAACCACAATGAAATACCACTACAAACACAGGCAAAAATTAAGGATAACTATATCATGTTTTAACATGTGGAGGAACCAGAACTATCATAAATTGCTAGTGGGAATGTAAAATGGGACATTTACTCTGTAAAACAATTTGGCAGCTTCTTAAAAAGTCAACCATACACCTACCATATATTCCAGCATTTATTCCTATTTACTCAAGAGAAAGTATTTACTCAAGAGAAAGGAAGGCATATGTCTGCATGAAGATTCGTACACAAAAGCTCATGGCAGCTTTATTTGTAATGCGCAAAACTTTTGATACACTCGACAGGATAAATCTCAAGACTTAAGATGAGTAAAATAATACAGACTCCAAAACATATATATATGATTTCATTTACAATAAAAATCTAGAAAATTCAATCTAATCTCTGGTGACAATCTAATCTCTGGTGTCTCTGGGAGGATGGAAGGAGATTGGGGAGAGAGAGGCTATGTGGATTACAAACAGGCACAAGAAAACTCTGGAGGTAATGGACATACATACATGCTCATTATCTAGACTCTGACAATGGTTTTACAGTGTCAAAACATTTGTAAAAACTTTACCAGAATAGCCGGGCTCGGTGGCTCAGCCTGTAATCACGCACCTTTGGGAGACTGAGATGAGTGGACTGCTGAGCCCACGGGTTCGAGACCTGCCTGGGCAATTTAGCGAGACCTCATCTTACAATAAATCAAAAAATGAGCCGGGTATGGTAGCGCGCGCCTGTAGTTCCAGCTACTTGGAGGGCTGAGGCGGAAGGATCGCCGCAGCCCAGCAGGTCGAGGCTGCAGTGGCCGGGAGCGGCCACTGAACTCCAGTCTGGGCGACAGTGAGACTCCAACTCAAAAAAAACCACAAAAAAACACAAAAACAAAAAACTTTATCAGATTGTATTTCAATAAAGCTGTTAAAAAATGAACCAACAGGCCGGGCTCTGTGGCTCAGCCTATAATCCTAGCACTTTGGGAGGCAGAGGGGAGTGGATTGCCTGAGCCTACAGGCTCGAGACCAGCCTGGACAACTTGGAGAGACCTTGTCGCTACAATAAAAAAAAAAAAAAAAAAAAAAAGCCGAGCTCAGTGGCTCAGCCTGTAATCCTGCGCCTTGGGAGGCTGATGTGAGTGGATTGCCTGAGCCCACGGGTTCGAGACCCGCCTGGGCAACTTGGCGAGACCTTATCTCTACAATAAATCAAAAATCAGCCGGGCGTGGTAGCGCCTGCCTGTAACTCCGGCTCCTCGGAAGGCTGAG